CCGGGCGCCGCTACGGGAAGTCCTCCCAGTGTGTGAGTGCGGGGGCAGCGGCTGCGGGTCGTGCTGCGGGTCGTGCTGCGGGCTGCCTGGTGCCAGCTGGAGCTGAAGCCCCTCAGCCATGCCAAGAGCTTCTGCCACTTCTTCGTCCCCAGGACTTTGACATCGCCGGGCAGTTCGACCCCATGATTCCCGACGCCGAGTGCCTGAAGATCCTGCACGAGATCCTGAGTGACCTGCAGCTGGGGGACTTCCTCATTAAGGTGTGACTGGAGCTGAGTCGTCTTCATGTCTCAGTGTCTGCCCTTCCCAGGGATTGAGGGAAGGCAGGAGGACACGCCAACAGTCTTGAGGAGGGAGCAGTGGCAGCGGGGGGGTCTCTCCTGAGCTCCCTGTGCCTCTGCCCAGGTCAACGACCGGCGGATCCTGAAGGGTGTGTTTGCTGCTTGTGGCATCCCCGAGAGCAAGTTCATCACCACCTGCTCCACTGTGGACAAGCTGGACAAGGTAAGGGTGGTGCTCATGGGGAGATGGCTTCCAGGCTGGGGGGTGGGTGTCCTGGGCTGGGCAGTGCCGTGGCTGTTCCCAGCTCCTTCATCATAATGAGGGTCTCAGCAGTGAAGCTGCTGGTGTTTGTAAAGGATTTGATGAACTCTTGGTCTGGTTAAGAGTAAAGCCTGGAGTTTCCAGAGGGATCTGTTAGAAATTCCTGTGAGAAAGGAAGGTTGGAGTGTGGTGGGGATTGGTCTCTTCTCCCTAGTAGCTAGCAATGGAAGAAGTGGCCTCAAGTTGCATCTCAGGAGGTTTACGTTGGATATTAGAAGAAACTTCTTCACTGAAAGGGTCTTAAACACTGCCCAGGCTGCCCAGGGAGGGGGTTGAATCACCATCCCTGGAGGAGTTTAGAAGCTGAGTAGATGTGGTGCTGAGGGACATGGTTCAGTGCTGGACTTGGCAGAGTTGGGTTAAAGGTTGGTAGAGTTGGGTTATGGTTGGACTTAATGTTCTTAAAGGTCTTTTCCAACCAGAACAATTCCCAGATGGTTAGAGAGGTGGCAGGTTGCTGCCTGCCTGCACATCTAGTGGGCACGTGGGCTGGTAGAGACGCTGGGTGAGGAGAGTGTCCTGAGCAGCGTTCAGAGGTTCTCGTGTCCCCCCGCAGATGCCGTGGGAAGAGGTGAGGAGCGAGATGGTGGGAGAGAAGGGGCTCTCTCCTGAGGCTGCAGATCGCATCGGGGAGTACGTGCAGCTGCAGGGTGAGCAGGGGGTGCAGCCCTGGGCCTGCTCCTGCCAGCCCAGCACGGGCAGCCCGGGGGGGCCCGGCCCGGGCAGCCCTGAGGCAGCGGCTCCTTCCCACAGGCGGCCTGGAGCTGGTGGAGCGGCTCCTGCAGGACCCCAGGCTGTCCCAGAACAAGCTGGCCAAGGAGGGGCTGGGGGACATGAAGCTGCTGTTCGAGTACCTGGCGCTGTTTGGCATCACGGGGAAGGTGAGGAGGGGCGGGGGCCGGGGCGGGCGCTGCCCCCCTGGCCGGGCAGCCCGGGCCCCCTGCGTGCGCCCGTGGGGTGACGGGGCTGCCCTGGTGTCCCCCAGATCTCCTTCGACCTGAGCCTGGCGCGGGGCCTGGACTATTACACGGGGGTGATCTTTGAGGCTGTGCTGCTGCAGCAGGAGAACCACCCCGTGGAGGAGCCCGTCCGCGTGGGCAGCGTGGCCGGGGGGCGCCGCCAGGCTCCACAGTGTTGGAGGGGAAGGGGTTTTGCAAGCAAGGTGGGTCCTCTCCTGCCTGAATCCTGACAGTGTTCACAGAAGACATCCCCTGTCTCTTTCAGCCTGTAGGGTCTGTCATGGGCAGCCAAGTGCAGCATTCCCTAGCAGATGCCAAGGAGATGTCCAAGATGAGCCCTGAGCTGTAGTCCTGGCTCTGCAATTTGTGCCCCAGTCACTTGTCTGAAGATTCCTGTCCTGGGGACTGTGAAATGATGGATTTGTTAACAGCTCAGGCACCCACTCTGCCATGAGCACCCCAGGGAAGCCTGTCAGGAAGTCCATTGCTCTGAGTCTGAACCAAATGCATATCAAGTGAGGCTGCTGCAACATGTTTGTACTTGAAGAATCAAAGGAGACAGGGGAAAGCTGTGCTGATCCCCCCTGGGAGGGAGGAAGGCAGGCCATGGTCCCACAGGAACAGAAGCAGATGATGCAGCAGTGAGTCAGAGCACAGATCCTCTGTGGGGCTCATTAAACTCACCCAGGCTCTCTGGTCTGAGCACCCTTTTTGCTGCTGGAAGGTTGACCTTCCTCAGTCACCTTCACGGAATGGTGGTGGTTGGCTGGTTTTGGGGAGATAAGAAGGTGAGGGGAGATGAGCTGCAGTTGTGGGTCCCCTGAGGGGCGGTCACTCCCACGAGTGTGTCCATCCCCACAGGCTTCTGGGCAGAAAGTTCGGACGACTGAGACAGAGGTGCTGGTGGCTACACCTCAGAAACACTTACTGGCTGCAAGACTGAAGCTCATCTCTGAGCTGTGGGATGCAGGGATCAAGGTAAAGACATGGGCTTGGTACAGGGGAGGGAGGGAATGTCAGAAGGGAGCTGTAGCACAGCATGGCCAGCTCCAGAAGCTGCCTGTCTCTTCAAGATCTGAGCCTGTTGGAGATCCCTCAGGCAGAGAAGAGCCAAGAGCACTAAAGGCAGCTGTTTGGTGTAGGAGTGATGAGGCAGAGCTTTCTGTGGAGTTCTGGCTCTGGCTGTTTTGCTCCAGGATCCATCAGAGCCAACTTTGTGTTAACGATTGTCTGTCTCCCCTCCCTCCCAGGCAGAGATGCTGTACAAGAAGGACCCGAAGCTGCTGAAGCAGCTGCAATATTGTGAGGACACGGGGATCCCTCTCGCTGCCATTGTCGGGGAGCAAGAGCTGATGGACGGGGTGGTCAAGCTGCGAGATGTGGCAACGAGAGAGGAGGTGAGAATGCCTTTTTCCAGCAGGTTTCCAAAGCACTTCCGAAATCTATGGATTCCTGAAAGGCCCTGGGTTTTCCCTCAGAGATGTGTTCCTTTGGGGAGCAGGGATCTGCTGGGTACCTGCTCCAGAAAGCCAGCACAGACTGTGTCAGTGTCCTTAGCAAGTCCATGGGGGACCAGATGGAACCCCTCTCTGCTGCCACCTCCTCCTCTCACTTGCTTTTAGGTTGACATCCCAAGAGAAAAGCTGATTGATGAGATCAGAAGGCGTCTGGAGCCCTAGGACATCTCTGGCTAGAACTGCTTGACTGAGCTGCTGTGCCACAGGAACCCTCCAGCACCCAGAGCCATTTGCTTCCCACGGAAGTCTGGTCACCGTCCACTGGCTGGGCTGAGGCAGTGTCAGCACCAGGCATCTGCTTGGGATGGAGCACGGGGGTTTAAAATCTGGGGACAGTGCAGTCACTGAGCTAACCACCAGGAGTTAACCACCTGATGAGCTGCTCTGAGGGATGCTCAGTAACTGCAGAGCCTCGTCCAGGCTGGTGGTGGCACAGGCACAGATGGACGTGGGGCAGCTCAAGCAGGACCAGGCTGAGCTCCAGCATCGGGGTGGGGAACTGTGGTGTGTTGAGCACCCAGAGGCTCAGAATATAGGGAGAGGGTGGCAGGGGGAGGCCACCCTTGCACCTTCAAGGGCTGCAAGGGGCAGCCTCAGCCTGCAGCTGGGCTCTGGCCACGGGGGTG